ACATTCAGCAGTCTATGAGTGGTTGAAGTATGGCTGCTGGGATTGGCCAACACTCAGCTGTTGTTACATGTGCATATTAAGTGAGGTTTCAATTTTGTCTATTAAGCTAGGTTACAGTTCATCCACAAGGACTCAAATATAGGAGTATGGAGTCCTTCTCAGGCCATATTTAGTTTGCTTTAACATTTCTGAAATTGGTGTCATGTGTTAAGTAAATTATCACTCTTTCTATGATAACTTTTTAAAAATATAAAAACATATTCAAATAAATAGAATGACATATAGCAGGTTAGATTCTGGAAAATAATTCTTGTAAAACCATTGAGACTGTATGGGTCTTGGAAAATCTTTGTGCACTCCAGTTTGAAGGCTTATGTTTTAAAGCAAGGATCAGGAATTTGGGTTAGCTGTAAATCACTTTCAAGAGTTTGGACCTCCTTTTGAACCTAGTAGAGTGTCACTGACGATCTTTGGAATAAGGAGAGTGACATGATTACTGCTGTGCTTTAGGGAATAAACAAGAGAATGGGTGGAATCATCCATTCATTCAACAAGTGCTGTACTCTGGGTAGTGTGGACCAAAAGGTGTAGAAAACAGGGTCTCTACCATCCTAGAGCTTACGTTCTAATGAGAAAAGACAAACAATTGTAAGGCAGAGGAAGCAATCAGATATATATTTGTCTCAGGTGAACAGAGGGATGACTTTGAGTCAGCTAGTGATGGATGCTATTGAAAACATAAAGCAGGCACTATTCTTGACAGAATGAATACATACCCCATGTCCCATGGAGTTTACATCCTAACGGGGAAAGACTAGAAATAAATGAAACAGTAGGATAATGTCAGGAAATGATAATAGCAATACTATGAAAAGTTAAGGAGTGTGTATGTCAAGGGTAAGGAGTTCATTTTTAAGACAGGGAGGTTTGGGAAACTAGGAGATGACATGTTGGGAGATCAGAGCCTTGACCTGAATAAAGTGATGAAATACACCATGGGAACATCTATCTTGGTCAAACTTGTCCAACTCGTGGTCTGTGAGCTGCATGCAACCCAGGACAGTCTTGAATGTGGCCCAACACAAATTCATAAACTGTTTGAAAACATGAGTTTTTTGGCAATTTTTTTAAAGTTCATCAGCTAACATTAGTGTTAATAAGTGTATTTTATATGTGGCCCACAACAGTTCTTCTTCCATTGTGCCCCAGGGAAGCCAAAAGATTGGACATTACTGATCTAGGTGAAAAGGGTTCCAACAAAGGGAACAGCAGTACAAAGTGTAGAGAAAGCGTATGCACGGCATATTTGGGAAAGCAAGACAGCTAGCCTTGCTGGAGCAGTATGAGAAAGCAGAAGAAAAATAGGAAATGATATTGGGAGAGGTAGCCTGGTAGAAGGTGATGTAAAGTCCTGAGGGCATGGAAGATTTTGCATTTGCTGGTGAGGAAAGAGATGATACTTAACACTGATTTATGTATTAAAAGGATCACACCAGACACTTTACCAAGAAAAGAATGCAAGGGGGCTGGGCACAGTGGCTCACGCCTGTAATTCCAGCACTTTGGGAGGCCGAGGTGGGTGGATCACCTGAGGTCAGGAGTTCGAGACCAGCCTGGCCAACATTGTGACACCCCATCTCTAGTAAAAATCCAAAAATTAGCTGGGTGTGGTGGTGGGTGCCTATAGTCCCAGCTACTTGGAAGGCTGAGGCAGGAGAATAGCTTGAACCCGGGAGGTGGAGGTTGCCATAAACCGAGATTGTGCCATTGCACTCCAGCCTGGGTGATAGAGCAAGACTCCGTCTCACAAAAAAAAAAAAAAAAAAAAAAAAAAAAAAAAAGAGGAATGCATGAAGGCAGGATTAAGGAGTCTTGGATTATGCCTGTATGGGAGGATGGTGAGGTTGTAAGTGAGGACTAAGCTCTGATTTTCTATCTTGCCCAAATTTCTTCTAAGGGATCTGGGGAGTCATGCCCTACAAACCATAAATTCTCATCAGATGGATTTTATTTGACCCTATATATCATGACTGACTTTTCAGTCTGACTATGGCATAATAGTATGAGACAAGGAAAAAGAAAATATTTCCTTGCCATACCTTGAAATTGCCCTGCAAAGTCTCTTGTGGGAAAAATCCACATTCTACACAGAATCCCCTTCTCCCTTTGTTTTTCTTCCTTTGCAGATCCAGTAAGATAATCAGCTAAGAGCCAGGCACCCTTTCAGGTCTGATAAGAAACATGTTACAACCTGCTGTCTCTCTCTGAAGTCTGCTATCTGAGATTCCTCTGCACAATAAACCTTGGTCTCCACAATCCTTTACCTTAACCTAAACGTTCCTTTCCATTGGTCCCGGGTTTTCAGATAAACTCAACCAATTGTCAGTCAGAAAATGTTTAATTTTATCTATAGCCTGCAAGCCACACTCCACCGTGCTTTAAGTTGTCCTGCCTTTCTGAACCAAACCAATGCATTTCTTAAATGTATTTGATTGATGTCTCATGCCTCTCTAAAATACATAAAACCAAGCTGTACCCCGACCACCTCGGGCACATGTTCTCAGGACCTCCTGAGGCTGTGTCACTGGTCATGGTCACTCATATTTGGCTCAGAATAAATCTCTTCAAATATTTTACAGAGTTTGACTCTTGTCATCAACATAAGTCAGGGAAGGAGGGTCAACTAACAATGACATCTCATGTGTTTCTAATGAATGCTAGAGTTACAAAATGGGAAATAGAAAACAAATTCCCAGGACCTTGTAGAGGGAGCGTAACTTGGAAACTGAATATAAAGGCAGCATGTTTGGGGAGAATGGGAAAATGGAAGACAGCTCCAAAGCTCTGAAAATTGGTAATTAGAAGGATGGAAGTACCATTGTTTACAATAAAGAAATTGCGACAAGTTGGGGAGAGAAAGGAGAGAAAGATGATGAGTTGTGATTATGTTGAGTATATCTAGATGTCAGTATTTTACTCATAAAGATCATAAATTTACTTGTCTCCAAACAGAAGTTGACGCCAGTTTTATGTCTCAAGGAAAAAGTGAGGAGCCATTCTTTTAGGAGTATTAAAGCAAAAATACACAAGAGGTAATTAGCTTGGGGTGGTTGTGTACCTGGAGCTCTTATGTAAGCACATAGGAACTTATCTTGGAAACGGTTCTTGTAACTGACTTATTAAAAAACTCACGAGCATCAGGGAATCACAAACAGCCAACAGGATGACTGCTTATACAACTAGGGACCTCCCATCAGACCCCAGTCATATAGGTAAATGCCTTATTACACCGTGACCAAGTAAGGGAAACGTAGCTGTAGCCAATCAGGTAATTTCCTTACTTTGTTTCTATGTTTAGTCTGTTGAAGCTTATTCTCAGGCCACTGGAGCTGAGCTTTCTGAACGCTTCTGGTTCAGAGTGCTAGAGGTTTATGAATTGTTCTTTGCTGAAATAAGGTGTAAAGTTTATTTTGTCTAAAGGTTTTCTTTTAACAGGAGTGATAATTCGGGCAAAATGTTCACATAATAGTGAGAAATGAAAAGCCTGCAATATAGAAAAGTGAGATGTATTTGTAAACTTCTTTAACAAAGGCATCCTAGCATAAGCATGGCTGTAGAGCCAGACTGTCAATGTTCGAATTCTTTCTGGGCCTTAATTTCTTTATCTGAAAATGGTTACAATGAACCTAGGTGATAGGGTTGTTCTGGAGCAAGCGTTCTTAATCTGGAGTCCACACAATTTCAGCATCTGTGAACTTTGTATTGAAAAAATTGTAACTGTATGTCTTTAACCTCAACAGTTTCAGTTTTCAATTATAAAGGCAGGCAACAAACCACAGTAGTATTAACAGTACCTACAGCTTTGTTTCCTATAGAAATTAAAGATATTGTCATACTCAGTAAGTTGTTGCAGATATCTCGAACCATTATATGTATATATTCCTTAAGTTTTATATATATATATAATATTTTTATATTCTACATATAATTTTGGAGACAGTGTTTTGCTGTTTCCCGGGCTGGAGTGCGGTGGCATGATCAGAACTCACTGTAACCTGAAACTCCTGGTCTCCAATGATCCTTCCAGACTCAGTCTTGGAATAGCTAGGACTACAGGTACTCCCCACCATATCCAACTGTTAATTTTTTTTCTTTTTTTTCCTAAAGACAAGGTCTATGGTGCCCAGGCTGCTCTCCAACTGTTGAACACAAGCAAGTCTCCTGCATAGGTCTCCCAAAGCATTGGGTTTACAGGTGTAAGCCACTGTGCCTGGCTAATCCTATATATTTAATTTCATGAATTTAGAAATATGTGCTATTTTAAGACTGCATGTACAGGTTTTATTACATTACCAAAGGTGTTCATGGCACAAGTGAAGAAATCTTTAGGAGAGTAATAAAAACCATGATGCATTAGAACAGATCAGGCCCGGTATCAAACGTTCAACATACAGTCTGCTGCTGTGGTTCCTTTTTTTTTTTTTTTTTTTTTTGAGAGGGAGTCTCACTCTGTCTCCCAGGCTGGAGTGCAGTGGCGTGATCTCGGCTCACTGCAACCTCTGCCTCCCGGGTTTATGCCATTCTCCTGCCTCAGCCTCCCAAGTAGATGGAACTACAGGCGCTCCACCATGCCTGGCTATTTTTGTATTTTTAGTAGTAATGGGGTTTCCCCATGTTCGCCAGGCTGGTCTCGACCTCCTGACCTCAGGTGACCCACCTGCCTTAGCCTCCCAAAGTGCTGGGATTACAGGCATGAACCACCATGCCCAGTCTGCTATGGTTCTTAAAATATTCAGAGAATAAAAATTGAAGTAAGGCTATTCGTTTTTATATTAAAAGTACCTAGTACAGTGTTCTGTACTTATGCATTCCCTGGATGCTGAATGAGTCACTAAATGAATGGAGTCTAGGCTGTGCCTCAGGCCTTCCAGTTGGGGCTGGAAGAGTTGTGAAGTTCTGAGACAGCTTCTGTGCATCGGGGGGCTCTGGAGTATGTTAGAAGGTTTCGCAGGGCTCTGGAGGAGAAGAGCTGTGTTCCTAATCACGATCACAATGGGAATGGAGATTGCAGGGGACTGCAGGGGCCAGGTTCTCATTCCCCAAAGCTTCCCCTTCATCATCCAAGAAGGCACTCAGGTCTGTCTGTGCAAGGCCCCAGGTAAAGTGCTGGGCTACCCAGTAATTGGGTTCGGTAGCAGGATGGCCTCAGATTGAGGTCCCAGGGCCAAAGGACCGCCCCTCTCCCCAGCGTGGGTTCAGGAAAGACAGGCTCCAGGCGGGAGCACACGCCGCGCCCCTGGAGCCCGGCTCCCTCGCCACGCCCACTTCCTGCCCCCATCCCGCGCCTTTCCAGGTCTTCTCCCGGTGAACCGGATGCTCTGTCAGTCTCCTCCTCTGCGTCCTCGGCCGCGGCCCGTGTCCCTAGCAAAGCCGCTGCCACCCCGGAGGGCCCAGCCAGTGGGCTCCCGGAGGCTGGCCGGGCAGGCGTGGTGCGCGGTAGGAGCTGGGCGCCCACGGCTACCGCGCGTGGAGGAGACACTGCCCTGCCGCGATGGGGGCCCGGGGCGCTCCTTCACGCCGTAGGCAAGCGGGGCGGCGGCTGCGGTACCTGCCCACCGGGAGCTTTCCCTTCCTTCTGCTGCTGCTGCTGCTCTGCATCCAGCTCGGGGGAGGACAGAAGAAAAAGGAGGTAGAATGGATCCCCTTGGCCTTCCCCTGTGGGCGGGGGCGGGCCGGGGTGGGCCGCGTTGCCAGGCAGCCCTGCCGTGTTGCTAGGCAGCCTGGCCGCCGGCGTGGGCGGTGCCGGCGCTGGGGCGGGAGCCGCGTGGGTGGGAGGCCCTGGGGCCTTCCCGGGACGTGGAGTTAGCAGGGTTCTGACTTGAAAAACCACGGCAAAGCGTGCACTTGACTCTGCTTCTGAGCATCTCACACCTTTCAGATCCTGGACGCTTTTATTCCCAGCTGGAAACCCAGCTTGGAGCAATTGTGTCACTAAAAGGGGTGTGTTGGATGTGAAAATACCCTTTAGAAGTATTTATAAGCCTGCAGGGACTATTTGTTCCTTGTTTTCTTACTCTGTTCTCTTCATTACCCATTTCAAGAAGCAACAGAACCTGTCCAGAGTGTGTTTTAAGTTACTCTGTATGTTTGTTTTTCTTTATGTTGAACTCGGTGTGTACTTGTGAGAATAAGCTTACATTATTTATTTTATGCAAGTACAACAGAACATATTGAGAGTGTGTTTTAAGTTGTCCTGTATGTTTATTTTTCTTTATGTTGAACTCAGTGTATACTTGTGAAAATAACCTGACATTTATTTTTTGCGGATTTATTTCTGAAGTTCATTCAATCTGATTTCAGTCTTAATCCAGCATTAACCTTGAAGAGGATGAGGTTTGAAGTGACTGTTTGTATTTAAAGTAGTTGTAGTGTTTGCAAGTTCCAGTTATCCGTAATGGATAGTTGATCTAGCTGCTTCAGCAAAAATAGTTATTTCGGGAATGTGACTAAGGTTTCTAATTGTGGACCATTTTGGTAAGAGTGCTCTGCTTATACAATTGAAGATAGTTTTTTCTGGTTAAGTTGTACACCCTTACAGGGCTCAAAATCTGAATTGGGTTTAAGATATTAACAAAATTTTGATAGCTGTGTTGAGACAGTGAAAAAATATCCTCATATGCTGAGTAATTATGTTTCCCTTTCTCTTTATTCTTTGAAACAAATATTGTGCGTTCAATATTAACTAATGTACCTCTCTTCAGCTTTTAAATTTTAACATTGAAAGTAGGCCATATGAAATTACTGGTGAAGTTCTGCTAAGGGATTTAGATAACCACTGTTAAATTGAAATTGTATTTACAAATATAAATTAATGATATATTTTTTAGCACTTGGTATTTGTATACCATATTCCAAGGGTTTTAGATTTAGTAGTTCACGAGAAAGGTAGAAAAGTGAAGAAAAAGTAGACAGCTTTTTTTTTTTTTTTTTTTTTTTTTTTTGAGACGGAGTCTCGCTCTGTCGCGCAGGCTGGAGTGCAGTGGCATGATCTCGGCTCATTGCAAGCTCCGCCTCCCGGGTTCACGCCATTCTCCTGCCTCAGCCTCCCGAGTAGCTGGGACTACAGGCGCCCGCCCCTGCGCCCGGCTAATTTTTTCTATTTTTAGTAGAGACGGGGTTTCACCATGGTCTCGATCTCCTGACCTTGTGATCCGCCCACCTCGGCCTCCCAAAGTGCTGGGATTACAGGCATGAGCCACCACGCCCGGCCTGTAGACAGCTTTTTCTGGATTACCAAAGCAAAGGGCAATAAAAGATGATGATGAACTCCATAGAAATTGTGATGTTTTCTCTCCTAGGAAGATCCCTAGGACCACGCCAGTTTTCTTTTGAAGGGTGTGAACCCCAAAGTATTTAAGACGGGCCTCAATTTTTTTTTTTTTTGGTCAAGGTTAAGGATGCACTGGTGACACAGCCTCCAGGGGTCCTGATGGCATGTTCCCAAGGTGGTCAAGGCTTTTATACATTTTAGAGAGACATAATACACTGATCAATACATGTAAGATCTACATCGGTTTGATCTGGAAGGGTGGGACAACTCAAAGGGGGAGGGGCTTCCAGGTCATTGGTAGGTTTACAAATTTTCTGATTGGCAGTTGGTTGAAAGAATTGTTACTAATAGAAAGGAATGTGGAGACCAAGGTTTTATTAGCCAGATGGAGCCTCCAGGTGGCAGGCTTCAGAGAGAGTAGATTGTAAATGTTTCTTATCAGACCTAAGGTCTGTGTTGTTGTTAATGCTGGTTGGCTTTTCCCGAATTCCAAAAAGAAGGAGGGTATAATGAGCATGTCTGGCCCACTTTTCCCATGGTAGCCTGAGGTGGTTTTTCTGGTAGTCTTGGGAATATGCCCTTGGTGGAGAAGAGGGGCCCTTTCAGATGGTTGGGGCAGAGGTCGGAGGGTGCTTACATTTTTGTTTTTGGTTTGCAAGGGGGGAAAATAAAAAGTGTACATGTTTACAGCATGTGAGTATCTCCAATGATAAGATGACTTTAATTTGAAAACGTTTGTTGATTTAGTATAATTAAATCTAAATTACAGTGACATCTGTTTCTGTTAAAATATTTTCATGAAAGATATTTTTAAAATGAAAAACCAGGGAGAACATTGTTGAAGATGAAAAAAGTTTTTCTTGCAAAATTAGTTTTATTTCTCCTAAGCAGGAGTGCTTGATTTCAATTTATGACGGTATTACAGTGTATATATATTTTACTGAAGGAAAAGAAGAACAAAATAAGAGCTTAAATAGTTGATGTTTTCAAGACTATACTTTCAGGGATCGTTTCTATAAAATAGTTGGTGTTCTGGTACTTTACTCAATAAGCATGCGTATTTCTGAAATATAGGCCATTCCGTATCTGGTAGTCACTAAGTTCACAAACTGTGATCTCTTCCAGTATTGGAAGGGAAACACTCTTATATTGGAAACATTAAGCGGTTGGTCACCCATGTGGTATTTTGCTAGTGATAGCCCTGGGTTGTTTTGACAGTATGTGGTCTCTTTCTCTCTTGCTGACTTTAAAACCTGATGCCTATGATAAGATTTGACACTATGAAACCTGAAAGTATAGCAGTTAAAGCTTAATTTACTATTAATATAATATTATTGACATATATACCAAAGTAGTTGATTTAGCATGAAGAGTGTTTTTCTTCCTTCTAGAGAGGAAGCCAAATTGAAGTCTTAAAGTTGAGCCTGGAATCAGGAATGGACATTAGTTGATTTAAAGGAAGTAATATTTAATGGTTATGACAGTAATACCACCATGGATGGATTTTTAACTCATACAGATAGATGGTCGAGTTACAAGTCAGCCTCTAATTTTATGACAGGCAAACGACGAACTCTCTGAATTTTAGTTTGCTTGTTTTAAAATGTAAATATAATACCCATATCTCAGGTATTATGTATACATGTATATAACGTAAAATATATAACCATATGTATATAAAGACTGTATATAAAATGCTTAGTGCAATGCCTAGGATATAACAAATGGTCACTAAGTGGTCGCTATTACTGTATATTCCTCATTTAAATGAAAGCGTTAGTATAATGAGATTCTGAAATGTGGTAAGGGTTTTTAAAATTTTTTTTTTGCTAAAGAAACTAACTTTATAATAATAAATTATATGTTCCCTGGAATAGTCTGTCGCTTATTATGAAGCACTGAGAATTCCAAATTCTCTTATGTTGTTTGAAAATTTCCCAGGAAGAGATTTTGTATCATAGAAGATTTGGTGATATCCCATGGATTTCTGTGTGTGTGTGTATATATGTATTATGTTTATGTTTATACACATCCACATATGCTTCTTCATGAAGACATTTTCATTCATTAAAAGCAATGTTTTGTTATAGTCCCTATTTGAGAATGTGGTTGAGAGAGTTAAGTGAATAGGCAAAGAAGATTGGAGATTTTTATAGTCACTTTTCTTAATTACGTTGAATATAGTCATTAAAAACTAATTTCTGAATCCTCACTGATGTTAAGTGATGTGAGTTTCTGGGAGACTTTGGCTTTTTAGTAGTGTATCATTTGCCTATCTAGTGCATCTTGTGTTTCTTTTATTTTGACAGTTTCTCTCTTTCTTACATCATTAACCCTTACCAGTTAATCAGCTTCACTTAGAATTGTTTTAATTTATAATGACCTCCTCTGATAATGTGAAAAGAGCTCCAATTCTGTAATTATTTCCAGTACACTTATTGACTTTGCTGTCATCAAAAGCAGCTCTTATAATAATTTATCTTATCTGCAAAGAATATGAGTAGCTGATAGGCCCTGATGAATATGCAATATGAACAATTGAACAGCTTATATTTTCTAAGCGATAAATGGACTAAATAAAACATATTTCAATTGCCTTTGACATAACTTCTATATGTCATTAATGTTTTTAAGTGCATTTTATATTGAGATGTGTAATATCCAGTTAGTTTTCATGGCACATTTGTGAAAGGGAGACTTTCGTATCTTAGTGAATGATAAAAGGGGAGAGGAGGGAGGTAAGCAATAGATGTTACCTTTAAGCAGAGAACTTAAGTGGAAGAAAAAGTTGGCAGTCATCACACAGGAAATCATGGTAGTTATGCATTGATATGTATGTATGCACAGAATATATCAGTGCAGGCAGTTATTTCACTTAGGTTAGATTATATATATGACTACCCCTTGAAGCATGATTGGAAATAGCCAAAGCTATTTCCAATGTCAGGAAAGCCACAATGTCATGGATGACGGCAGAAGACATGGGATTCTTGTGTCACAGATGATGGAGAGTTTATTATAGCAATAGAATAGTCTCTATGTACGTATAGTTATATATTTTATATGTTATATACGTATTATATGTTACACCCACGTATACATAATACGCAAGATATAGGTTTCATATTTTAAAACAAGCAAACTAAAATTCAGAGTTTGTCATATACCTGATGTCATACAATTAGAGGCTGAGTTGTAACTGGACCATCTATCTGTCTGACTTAAAAATCCTTGGTGCTTAATATTGCTGTCATAACTATTAAATATTACTTCCTTGAAAGCAACTAATGTCCACAGCAATAGATGGTTTATTACTCAGCATTTGTACTGGTTCTTTGAGCTTCAGTTCACATTGAACA